CTCTAAATTGTCCCTAGGTGTGAGTGAGAGTGAATGGTTGTTTGTCTCGTTTGTCTCTGTGTGGCCCTGTGATGGACTTGCGACCTGTCCAGGGTGTACCCCGCCCCTCGCACAGTGATTGCTGGACATGGGCACCAGCGACCCCCGTGACCCAAAATGGAATAAACGGGTAAAGATAATGGATGGATGGATGGATGGATGGATGTTATTGTTCGGTATTTTTTTGTGGTGTTTTCTGTCATCAGTTCTTAAATTGGTATAGTAAATTCACTTGACGTTCATAAATATTCCTTAAAGTTTAAACTTCAAAAGATGCATATAAGACATTGGTGTTACCAAACCAGTACAGTAAGTAAAATACTGACAATCGAGGCTGTTTTATAGTTGATGAACATGTAGAATGTAGATGAATAACATGTATGTTTTTGTTGCAGGACACCAATTTTTTTCATTATACAGAGATTAACTTTAAAGGAATTGTTTCATTGTTTGTTTTTTTTCATATTACATAGCAATAATCCTGTTTAAACTTATAATATACCAAACAATCAGTGCTGATACTGTATACTAATACTTAAATAGTGATTATAATGAAATGTATGGTTGAATACCATAAATGAAAGCAGTGTTCTGCTAAGCAGTCTGGACACAACGCATTGTATTGAGAGTGTTTGTTACAATCATGAGACTTGACTTGAACTTGAGCTCAGAGACTTTTGGGCATCTCTGTACCAAGTTAAAGATCTGGACCCGAAAGTTTAAGAAATTCTGTGTCGGGACATTTGGGGATCTGTTCACAAGACAATGCAGGCAAACCTCAATTTTCTCAGTCTTTATTGTGAAGATGGCTGACCTATAATTAATTTACAGTGAAGTCAGATACTGTTAAAGTAATACAGAAAATGGTTCCTGTAGGATGTTGCTGAATAATTCTTCTACAACCCATTAAATTGTGGGGTGTTCCTGCATTGTGGCTGAACTTTTCTTAAAATAAAAACAACACCAATCTGTTTTATATTGTTCAGTATACCTCCATTTAAAACCTGTTGAACAGATGAAGTTGAAGCCTTCACATTTATTATGAAAAAGGTGGTATTTTACTCTTTAGCTGTCTGCATCTCATTCCGCCCAAATCAATGATTTTGATGCCACAAATGTTATCACAAGTAAAAACACTGATCGATTTTATCCTTTTCAACTCTGATCTTCAAAAGTCTTTCTCAGACTAAGCAATGGACTTGAAAACACACTGAGCTCATATAATTCTACAATAATTTTCAAAGCCTGCTTGCAGATTGGCAAATTCAAGGCAACAAATAATTTTAAAAAAAAACTTTTTTGTGTGCAGACTTTTACTCATCCACAGTTAAATTTATTGTGGACATTTGACTACCTTATAACAAATAATGTTAGCTTTAAATGGTGCAAAAATACCCTCGTTCATTGAAAACAATTCGGTTTGGGGGAAACGAAATGGCAAAAATGGTACAAAATATGTAAAAGTTTGCACATAAGATGCAAATCAACACATCTATTGATTCTTTTTTTCAAACATACTAAATATAATCAAGCTGAGCTGTTTAGTGACTTCAGTGTGTCCACAGCCAAAAGCTGGGTTTTGCTTTGATTAGGAGAAAATTGGTTTGGATAATATTGTTGCACCAGTTCTGCTTAGATCAAACCAGTCATTCTGCAGGGAACCAACAGATTTGGATCTGATTCCCACCCCCCTCTTGTCCCAGTATACACACGGGTTAGACCAAGGACAGTCTGGTGGCTTTATCAGGCAAACAGAACGACAAACACATTCACACCTCCATGCAGTTTGTACTTTATTTTTATTCACCTTCTCTTTTTACTGTGACAGCTAGAGCACCTGAATAAAACTGATACAAAACCATGCCAACCACTCTCTGTAGTATTCAAAGGAATTAACAAAAACGCTATTCAAGTGAGATTAAATGCAACCTACGCAGCAAATCTTCAAATGTGTTTGAAACAACACATAAAATGTCTTTTCAAGCATGTTTCTTTTTTATGTTTTTTAATTCATTTATTTTTTTCGCCCTGTTTGACCAAATCAATGAAGATGAAACATTTGAACTTTGATGTTTTTCTATTCACATCCAAAATTCAGCATTAAAAAGTGACAAACCTTGGGCAGGATACATAAAATGCAACCCTCTACTGCACACTGAAGACCTTTAGACATGAAATCCCTGACATAACAGGCTCTAAAGCATGTTGCACCCTCGGATGGTCTGAGGATCTTTGAAGAACTGCTGGAAATGATGCATCATGGGCTCCCACAGGAAATAATTCAAGGCCATCTTAACATGAGCGCTAATACTCAAATATAACTGAAAGCAACAGAAAGAAAACCGTTAAATAGGCTATCTTCTCATTTTATTACCGTTATTGTTATTTTAGTTAAATTATCGCAGCTTGTGCCAGCTGAACTGTTCAAAACTAAAATGCAAGCACTTGGTATTAAATCAGCAACATGTGGATGCTTCATGTGGGATATGAGGCTGAAATGGCAGCAGAAATGTGAGGGAGTGTGTTTATTTCTTTGTAGTAATGGCAAAATATCTCATGAACAACTAGATTTGAATGACACTCTTTAAGTAATATTTTGATGAACTGTTTAAGAGTCAATCCAATTCAAGGTGGCTATCAGGGCTTAACTTGACCAACCCAAAAATGGTTGTACTCAGCCAGTTTTACAGGGATTAAGAAAAATGTTGATCATTCCAAACACACATCAGTTTACCTGATTGTGCAGAATCTGTTGAGTCAAAATCATTAGTCAAAATGTAGCTCTGGGGGGCATCTCGATTTAGCATTCTGTCATGAAAGGCAGCAGATGATGTGCATTTCTTCTTGTCCTTTAATTTCCAATGTTTTTACTAACTAATTAATTTTTTTAACCTTTATTTATGCAGGTTTGTCTCAATGAGTCATGAGGACTCATTTTCAAAAGAGACCTGTTTTAGACAGACACCATATTAAAAAATATGCCATTAACATGGTTTCAAGGACTAATGAATCTGGAACCGATCAAAAAAATTAAATATCATAACAAGTCAGTCAGATGTGGCCAAACTCTACATTAACTAATGTTCCTAAAAGATATAGTTGTTTATTTGTGTGGAAATGTCAGAAACAGCTCTTATAGCAAGAATGCTAACAGAAACATTGTATTATGCCTCCATAAATTATCCTTTGCATTCTGCATTTCTGGATGCTTTGGATGAAGGACGAAACATATCAGCAAAAAAAAAAAGGAAAGAAAGAAACTGTCCAGATGATCTGACTGAACATTGTTGGTTTTTTTGCCTGGATTATTGAGCATGAACTTTGGTGTTATAGCAAAGTTGACTTTACTGAAAGAAAAAAATAAATGCATGCTTCAAAAATGGCCATTTGCTGATTTTGAAGTAAATTTTTAGTTTTTATGATAAACGCACCAGTTGAAAATCCGATTTTTTTTTTTAGCAACCACCTGGATTATAGTGGGAAAGGCCATGACACGATGCTGAAGTGGGAACAGACAAATTGCATCACGCGTGGTGAAGAGGTTGTCATGAAAGTGTGAACACCATTGTAGTGGATCCAGAAAATAATGGCTTCCAGCTGAATCATATTAAAATATTGAGTGAAGGATTTAACTCATTAATGTTTTTTAAAATGTAAATCCTCTGGAAATCCATTGTCTGTATCACATTTGTTTTAGTGTTGTGCTGTTTGTTTTTTAAATAGATCTTTAAGAAACATGATATTTATTTTTGTTAAAAGCACATACAGTATGCACCAAAAATGACCATATGCTGACGATGATAATTTGTGCAGCCAAATTATATAAATTAATCTGAATCCTGCATGCATTTTCTAGTATTATTAAGTTTTACCTTTTCTAATACTTTTAGCATCTAAATAGTTCAGATTTATTTCCTCAAATTAAACATTTAAGTAAAAGCTGTTTGTGCATTTAATCAAATAAATTCAAACTATACACACTTCGAAACAGAAATATTCCAATTTTAATTGAACTCAACTTGCTGTTTTTCTCTTAAACAAATTATAACTCAATGTGAATTCATTTTTGTTGAGAAATTGTAAATATTTCACACTGCATCTTTGGCCCAACGCACTGAGCAATTGTGGTTTTAGCTAAAGTGACATGGCCTCATGAATTCTTGGAACAGATGTTGACATTTCTTTGCATGGAAGCTGTAAATGGAGAGGGACCATGTTACTTGGAAGATTTCTTGTTGCTTTAAGTGCCTTCACGTTGATTCACATCCTCCACAGAGGCTGGATGGAGGTTTAAAACCACTGAAACAATGTTACAAAAAAAATACAGAATGCACAGGATAATTTATGGAGGCAACTTATGTATAACGCAATGTTTCTGGCATTCAGTTTTTATGGTTTTTGTCTATTTTCCACACATTTCACATATACAGAAAGCACCCAAACGTGCTTTTTACTTGTGAATTTAAGATGCAACAGCTTCACCTTGTTTTTTTCAGGGGGGTTTGCAATAGGGAGAAGAATATTTCAGTTCAAACTGAATAAATGATCACTTCTCTCAATTACGCACAACTTGTGCATCCATAGGATCAACACTTGGAAATAAAATCGTCAGATTTACATTTACAAGACAAATCAAACTGTTATAAAAATGAAAAGAAGGGCGTTAGTCACTTTGAACTCGTGCACAAGTGCAGAAAATATGAAATATCTAATATGTTTTCCTTGAAATGTCCACATTTACAGCTAAAGTGGTTAATTAAACAATGTGTTTTTTGTATAGAGGAGGTGGTGTGAAGGGAGAAAAACCTCTGAATGCCGTCACCAAACCTAATCTCTGTCAAGGTCAGAATAAAAGCTTGAATTCTTCTTAAAACAAACAGATGGTTTGTGGTTAGCGCTCGCCACACTGCGTCAAAACGATGCCCCGTGCGTAAATCTGGAGCGCCCAGCAGGCTACTTACGCTGCTGTTTTGTCCCGACCAGTGCACCATGGCCTGGTTGTGAGCCGTATCCCCGGCGAGGGCAAAAGTGGAACTCGTGAGACGAAGCTCCTCCCGGTCCGGATCCTCGCCAACGCCCTCGGTTCCAAATCCGGACCAGGTCTCTGCGCTCCGCGTTCGTCTCCAACTCGGCGCGTTCCCGCTCTGAAAGGAGAATGAGTTATTTCTTCCATCCCCGGTGCGACTGTCTGTCACGTTGCTGGGAGCGGGATCAGGCGCACTTTGATCCAGATGGGAAAGTTTTCTAATCTCCTGCGGACCTCTGGTCTTATTTTCCAGCCGCGGCTGGACTTTGAAGGAACTTTCTTCCCTCTGTTCCGCAGCGCCGAGCTTTTCCTCCCAGCTGGGTAGCTCCGCACCAAACCCGACCAGTTCCTCCGCAGCTGCTGCGCTAAAGTCGGCCAAATCCAACAGCGGCGCTTCCCGGGATGATGCCTCAATAAGCGGCAGCTGGCACGAGGGGATGCACGTTACCTCCGCGTCGGTTCCGCTCAGGCTGGAAGTTAGAATGAAGAGGCAAATCCACTCAGAGGAAACGAGAAAATGGCAAAGCCCGACGCGCGTCTCCATCCTACATTGACTCGGACCTCATTTGTGTTTTCAGAAGAGAAGATTCTTAGTCAGGAGCGTTTTGTTTTCCCTGTCATCACCTGGCGGAGACGAGTCCGTGGACGCTCTGTGAGGAGGTGCAGCAGCGCGCGCGGACAAGTGTTCCCACTGATGCAAACGATGCATCAGAGGAGGAGCTGAAGGCTGAATCCTGCACGAGAGGGGAGCGGGGCGCACAGCCGCATCCTCTCAACCTGTTTTTAGAACAAATAATAATAAATAAAGGCACAATCTTAACGGAGGTCTATTTTCTCTCTCCCATGAGACTAAAGTCTGTTTTTGATTAGCAATGCGCAAGATATTCCTTCACTTCTGAAATATTTGGAGGTCACCCAGCACATAATTAAAACTGCTGGAGAGGTCTTCAGATGCGGGATGGGGGCTTTGGGGGAAAGTCTCCAACCATTAGGATGTCTCCATCTGCTCGCCTGCGCACAGAAAGGCAAAGGGACTGAGGTTGCTGATACAATAGGGGCTTTGCATTTTCCATCACCGCGGTTCTGGGTAATCAATTAACAAGATTGCCTGTGTTCACTGTCAATTATGCCATGCAGGTAATGACTCTGTTGTGGCCTGCTTGCAGAATGGCCCAGTAATTGTTTCACTTAAAGGCTACTCTCCTGTATCATCCATTCAGCACAGCCTAATGGAGAACATGTGCATCCCCCAGTATTTAGCTTCTGCTTTCCAGGGCCTTTACAGGTTAATGGAGACTGGTTTGACAGAAAATAATGAGGAGGATTCAAAGTAGGGGTGAGCAAGTAATCATTTCAGCTGCAAGCCTTCTCTGATCTCTGCAAGTGTCGTGGTAATAATCGAGAGCCCATTATTGCTGTGCGATACAGGCATTGAGAATATATTGTTATATTTCCCTATACGTTTTTGGCTTTGTTCCAGTCTGCTAATGGTAAACCCTTCGGAGAACCAGAGCCTGTCCAAACGCTGTGATTAGATTCTATTTCTGGGCAACATTTAGTCAATAAGATGAGGATGCTGTTGACTGGTGACTGATGCCGAAGAGACTCCCTGTATTGAGCTGTGCTCTCTTCATCGCTCTGAGCTGCGACGTGATCCTGTTCCACGTACGGGTCAACCGCACAGAGACGTCTTTCATTGCCAGCCATTAGTGATGCAGCGAGCAAGAGCTGTCTCAATCTGTTTCAGTTAGCCCCCACCAGACAAGAGGAAATCAGTCTATAATGCAGATTGATGGCTGACTGAGAATTTCAATCATGGGGAGCTTTAGCTAAAAAGCTCAAGTCTCGACTGTAATGTAAACCTAAAGCGCGTGCAGACTATCACAATGCAGATCACACCAAGAGAAGGATCGACTGTGCAGGTGTGAGACATCTACAACTTCTTGAATGGGTTTTTACTTATTGTGACTTTGTTAGGGATCCGTCCACACTGACACAGAGAAATGATTTTTTGCTGATTTTTACCAGGTTGGTTTTGGATGAATGTGAAGTTAATACTGCTTTTTACTATTTTTTTTTTTTTTTTTGTAGGAATGCTGATTCAGCATTCATTGTATCCTGTTTCTCTTTATACGTTTTTTTTTTACAGTGCATGTAGCGTAACTACTGCAGAGTTTGCTTTTACCATCCAAATGTCAAAATGTTTCTCATTCAAGACATTCCAAGTATTTTTGTTTTTTGTAATGTTTATATGCTCCAAAATATTTAATGTTATTTTAAAAACATTTTTCCATATTAATTTATTAAGATATGCAATTCCTTCAATAACATAGTTTGCTTTAATATATTTCACTATGCTATATATATTTTGTTATGCTACATTTTAGCAAGTATTTTGTTATTCCTATCAGCTTTTAAGTAGAGGGTTTTGGTCATTCCAGTTGGTGATAAGCTGCTTTGCAGGGGCTAAAGAAGGTGAGTGTGTGATCGGAAGGTCACAGGTACGATTCCTTGGACTGACAGCATCTAAATCTGGGTGGGAAATTTGAAGCACTCACACCTGTCTCCACCCTCATTTGCCCCACTCTGGGCCCTTGAACAAGGTCCTTAACCCCCACTGTTCCCACAGGCACCCTATGGCGGCTCTCTGCGCCACATAGAGGGCTGTGGTAGTTCGGTGGTATGTGGTTGCCTCATAAATCTTCATACAAGTTGGTTCACTGTGGCAACCCCTGAAAAAGGGAGCAGCCGAAAGGGGAAGAAAAATATAGCATTTTGCTACTTTGCTGTCTCTCCCTACTTCGCAGTTCGTTTATTGCAGACTGGCTCTATCACGGTTTTTCAAAATAAGACTGGACATGACACACAATTGGCTTGTTTGATGGATGAGCCGCACAATCGGCATGGAATTTTTATTTAAAATTAATTATGTTAAATTATTTAGCACCTGCTGCACTTTTGTGGAACCCACGGCTGCAGAGAAAGCTTCCTCCTACAGCTTTGTGCAGCATGCTGCAGGATAAACTTCCTGCTGCAGCTGAACAGCTGATCACCGTGCAGAGCAGCAAAGTGGGCGTGGCCAAGAGCGCTTGATGGTAGCAAAGAGCAGAGGAGGCAGGGAGCCGAAATCATGACATTCTCTGCTCTTTTAGAGCGTTCAAAGTTTAGAAACATTGCTTAGAATATTGCGAGAGTGTGAGAAGGGTTTTTAAACAACTTTATATATATATATCTATATATATATATATATATATATAGATATATATAGATATATATATATATATATATATATATATATATATATAGAGAGAGAGAGATATATATAGATATATATGATAAAGTACTACTTACTACTTGTATCACTAATACCGACTCCTATTTCGCTGTTTTTCACTTATCGCGAGTCTTCAGGGTACAAATCCCCCACGATAAAGGATGGATTACTGTTTTGCTGCTTTTTGAGCTACTGTTTTGCCACATTTTGTGCATTGTTGCTATTAGCTTTTAGCTAGTGCTTTGCTCTTTTTTCCTTTTAACTAGCCTTTTCTACATTTAGCTTGTGGTTAGCATTTTGTTACTTAAAAAGTGTTTTTCCACTTTTTTAGCTTTTAGCTAGCATTTTTCTACTTCTACCTACCATTTTTAGACACACCTACCCACTCCCACCCCCCACCCTGGGACATTGTAACATTGTAACAATTTTGTTCCACCCACATGTACGTGGTGGAATGACAAAGACACGGTGGCGCAACTGGTAGAGCTGCTGCCTCTCAGCGAGCAGGTCCTTGGTTCAAACCCCGGTCCAGGGGCCTTTCTGGGTGGAGTTTGCATGTTCTCTCCGTGCATGCGTGGGTTTTCTCCGGGTACTCCGGTTTCCTCCCACAGTCCAAAAACATGCATGTTAGACTGATTGGTAACTCTAAATTGTCCCTAGGTGTGAGTGAGAGAGTGAATGTTTGTCTCGTTTGTCTCTATGTGTCCCTGTGATGGACTTGCGACCCGTCCAGGGTGTACCCCGCCCCTCGCACAGTGATTGCTGGACATGGGCACAAGCGACCCCCGTGACCCAAAATGGAATAAACGGGTAAAGAAAATGGATGGGTGGATGGATGGATGGATGGAATGACAAAGAATCTTGAATCTTGAACCTTATATTTTTTCCAAGATTTTGGTGCTTCTAACTTATTTTGCTACTTTCAGCTAGTGTTTGGCTAGTTTTGACTTAACCAGTGTTTTGTTTCTTTTAGCTTTAACAATTGTTTTAGCCTCTTCAGATTTATTTAACTTTATTCAGCACTCAGCCTTCATACAGCATTTTTCAGAAAATCTAGTTTCTCTATTTTTTTTTTTTTTTTTATGAATGTGAAGGATGAATGATACTTTTAATTACTTGAAATACTGAAGTTGTTGACTGTTTTACAAGGAAACCTTTGAAAGGGGTTTTCAGGAATGCAGCCTCCAAATTTATCAATCATGTTCACTATCTTAACAACCTCAAATATATTCGCACCTGTTTTCTACCAAAACAACACAATTAAAACTTATTTTTAAAATGTAACTTTTACTGAAGTATCACTGAAAATGAGAGAAAAAAAAATGATAAAGCGTTCAGGTAACTTTCCAAGTCCACTGGAAGGTAAAATGAGGTCTGAAGGCTAAATTAATTTTTTATGTAAAATGGCATGAATATGAAATATGAAATGTGCTTTACATCTGCCGACATGGTAATGGGGGGGGTTTATTAAAGAGTACATATTATATAAGAATATATATGTTTTATTTGCTTTTAGAGAATACATTTGGGTGTCATACAAATAGAACAAAAAAACACAACCGGACACAGTGTGACCACCATAGGTGCCGTTAGATACTGTAAGTTCTTTTTTAAAGAGAAAGATGTTAATTCATCCCATCTTTTTATTTACGTCATCAATAAAGTGCATTGAATTATGTCATATTGATAATAATTAATATTCTATCATTTTAAACTTGCTATATTTTATGGTATTGTGTCAATTTGGACTGTATCTTTTATTTCCACCATCTGCATATAAAAACTACTTTTTTGGTAACCCAAAATATTTTTACATGTGTATAAAAATACTTTAAATATAAGATTTTGGGAAATAAAAACACTCACAAAAAAACTGACATTAGTTTACTTTGCATGCTTTTATTTTGTGTATGGACAGTGAAGGAGCAACAGATATTTTTTGCTGTTGTTTTTTCTGTTTTCAGTCTCAATTCAGTCCAGTTCACTTATTTATATACTGTAGCTCCAAGTCATAACAGAAGTCGTCTCAGGGCATTGAACAGACACACACACACACACACACACACACATATATAT